CCCCCCCTCCCCGGCATTGCGCAGGACCGGTCAGGTAATCACGAGGCTGTTTGTTTGGCTGTTTGCAAATCTCAGGAAGCAGCTCCAGCAAAATCTCCGAAGTCATCAGAATGCAGCAAACCACAGTGTCAAAACAATACAACCCCATCCCTACCTCCAGCAGGACCTTTATCAGTAATTATCACCTGTTTATCGCAGAGCCCGGGATTACAGCAGGTCCGGGCTGAAGGTCCCCTCCATCCAGCCGGTGGTGGAGGTGGGCAGCACCACCCATGGCCGTGTGCTCCCCGGGCCCTCTGAAGGAGACACTATTTCCTCACTCCGCCTGTTCTGAATCCGGATCTGTCAATATTCAAATATTCACATAGGAGAAAGGGAAACTATAGTAACTGGACAAATACACACCTGAGAAAGAAGACACTCCTTCCTGGTCTGTAATCCCCGTGTTCACTAAACCTTGGTAAATCACTGAGGCATTCAAAAATCGAAATTTCTCCTTGAAGACAGACCCGGTAATGCAAAGATGTAAGGCACATCGTCCTTAGTGAAATGGTAGGTTCAAAAGTTTGAATTTAGGGTCCTGGCAGCATTTGTACATGGATGATGAGTGTTTGCTCAGCTGCCTCTCTGAAAGCCCTTTAAAATCACAGTACTGATAATTTCCATGACTTCTCTATTGCTTCCTCCCCGCAGCAGTTTGTCCCTGCGTGGGCTGGGAGCTGGGCAGTGACTCTGCCAGGTGGGAAATGCCCCCCTGCCCTTGCTTTGCAGTGGTGGCACTGAGGTGGGCTGTGGAAGGTGAGTCACACACACACCAGTAGGACGAGTGGGGACTGGCACAGCCCCATCTCCACCTTTCCCGTCGGATGGAGGGTGTCTTCACCCAAAAGGGGGGTTTATAGCTCCGGCTGTTAAAGGACAGCAACAGGCAGCAAGAGCCAAGGAAGGTGAGTGTGGGTTCATGGTCTCAGGGTCCCCAGGTCCCTTAATGGGGGGACACCCATGAGCACAACCCGGGCACCCTTTGGAGGTGTCAAAACCTCCGAGGGTGCCAAAGCATCCCCTGGCACGCCCCGTGGGGGACAGAAAGGACAGCCCCACCAGCCGTTTCTCCAGAGGCAGTGAGGGGGATGGTGGGCCCCGGGGGCTGTGGGTCGGGGCAAAACCCTGAAAGAGGTGGTCACACCCTGGGAGGAGGAAGGGGGGGGCATTTTGCTGCCCCCCTC